AATACATAGTAGTAACAAGAGACAAATCATCATCAACATGTGAGAAAGAATCAAGCATGTGAGACTCACAAGCATCATGAAGCAATAACTCAATGGAACTTACACCTAACAAAGAATAATCCTCAAAAGGATGTTTCATTGCATCATATATATTAAAAATAACATGATCCTCTCCACATTTCAAAATCAAACTACCTTTTTCCATGTCAATCAATGTACGAGCAGTCCTCATAAATGGCCTTCCTAAAATCAAAATATCATCCCCACTCCCTTCTTTTGACATATCAAGCACATAGAAATCCACAGGAAATAATAGACCTTTAACACAAACCAACAAGTCTTCTACTACTCCATGTGGTCTTCTAACACTTCTATCCGCTAATTGGCATATCATAGGTGTCTTATGCATGCAATCAAGACTCAAGGCATGATAAATTGAAAGAAGCATAACATTAATGGCTGCACCTAAGTCTATCAATGCATGAGAAAAATGTGTGTTGCCAATCTTGCATGGAATTGTGAAGGAACCGGGGTCCTCACATTTTATAGGGAGTTGAGGCTTCATGATAGCACTCACAGATGAGGGTAATTGTACCCTTGCATTAGGCCTAAATTTTCTTTTATTTGTACAACAATCTTTCAAAAATTTGGCATACTTAGGAAAGTTCTTAACTACATCCATCAAGGGTACATTAACATGAATCTTGTGGAAGAAATCATATACCTCTTGATCAAATTGTCCCTTCACTTGCTTAGGGACTACTTGTGCTTGTGGAAAAGGAAGCTTCTTCATAATCTCTTGACTTTGCTTTCCTTCTTCCTTCCTTGAACTCTCCTTTCTTGTTTCACTTCGCTCGACCTCTCCCTCTTTTTCCTTACTAAACAACTCGGCCATAGTCCCCTTTCCACCTTAGATGGTGGTTGCTCACATATGATCTCCTCAATGTTTTCATCCTCATCATCTCTACAAAAAGATGCATCATTAGGAGCAAAAGAAGAACTAGAAACATTAACATCAATTGAAGAATTTAAAGAGGGCTTCTTGGCCTTCCCTTGTCTTTTGTCTTCTTGTACTCTTTTTCCAACTCCTTGCCACTCCTCAATGTGATAGCATTAAGATTAGCTTTAAGATTAGCAACGGTGTTGGATGGTAATGTAGAGGCTTGAGCATTGGCTGCACTTAATTGGTTAGCAAGCATATTCATTTGAGAAGTAAGGGCATCAATTTTAGAGTTCATGTTCTCACACTTGTTACCCATACTCTCTACCTTGTTCCCTAAGCCATCATACATGTTTTTATACAAAGAGTTCATTTCAATCAACTGCTTACGTAACACATTCACATCATTAGAAGAGTTTGAATTAGAAGAACTCTCAATTGGAACAAGCTCCTATCACTATAAGAATTAGATGAAGGTGCAAGAGAATTACCACTTGGATTGTAGCTTTGAGAAGAGCTACCTTGAGACAAATGAGGTAGAGGGTCACGGCCAAAGGTGTTTTGATAGGATCCTCTTTGTTGATTGTCTTGTAAAGCCACATTTGGATTTGAATAGGAGAAATTAGGATGGTCTCTCCATGAAGGGTTGTAAGTATTAGAATAAGCTCCTTGCCCTTGCCTCCCACCATAGGATTGTTTTCCATTGTAGATAGCATTTACTTGTTCAAACTTAATAGGACAATTGCTTTCTACATGCATAGGTGAGTCACAAAAAGTACAAGAATAAGGGACAAGTGCTTGAGAAGTACTTACATTGCTCACTTGAGATATTTGTGGAGCCAACATTCTCCCAATCTTGGCAGCTAGCAAGTCCACATATGAATCATTAAGAATTGAAGAACCTACCATATTCACATTTTTCTTTTCCCTTGTAGAGTATTGAGCACCACTTGAAGCCATCTTGTCAATTAGTTCCCAAGCCTTTAAGGGAGTGAGGTCAATTAAGCATCCACCACTAGCGGCATCAATGTTAACTTTGTCTCTTGGAATCAAGCCCTCATAGAAATATTGGACTAAATTCTCACTAGAAATTTGATGGTGTGGGCATTTAGCCAAAAGGCCTTGGAATCTAGTCCAATACTCATAGAGACTTTCATCCTCTCCTTGTTGGACCCATAGATTTGCTTCCTCAAATTGGTGACCTTGGAATTTGGAAAGAATTTATCTAAGAAGAGTCTTCTTAGCTCGGCCCATGTGCTTACTTTCACATAAGAAGGGTAGTTGAAATACCACTCCTTTGCTAAACCTTCAAGAGAAAATACAAAAGCCTTAGCTTGAACATCATCAACATTTACATGTAGGCTTCATAGTATCACAAACCAATAGGAGAGTATGCAAAAACCTATGGCAATCCTCTCCTGGTAACCCATGAAATTTAGGCAATGCATTAATCAAAGAGGATTTAATTTCAAATTGAACATTAGTAGGAGGAACATATAAGCCATAAGGATTATCATGCCAATTAGGTTGAGTTAATTGCCTAATGCTCCTTCCTCTCTAGGGTTATGCAAGCCTTCAAATTCATTATTAACATGGCCATCATCATGCAAATTCTCATTTCCATTCCCCTGGCCCTCATTATGCACATGCTCATGTCCTAAGATACCTTCCATTGTTGAATTACAAACCAAATTAGAATCAAGAATAAGTTGTGATCTTCTCAATCTAGAAATAGTCCTTTCAATTTCTGGATCTAATTCAACAAAAGAGGTATGTTTTCTTCGGGTCATGCACTAATCAAGCTCAAGAAAATTAAGAACAAAGAACAAGCTAAACTAAAATGCAAATCAACACGAAACAATTCAAAACACACAAAAGCAAGAGAAATAATTTTTTTTTTAATATACTCAATAGCAACAAAATGAAAAAAAATAACACCAAACAAGTAGAAAGAGAGTTAGAAATGCTCAATCAAGAAGCTTTGGCAATTCTGGAATTCGCACAGTAGGCTCTCTGGAGACAGTGAACTTGTGAATTTTCTAGCAGCAAATCCACATGATAAATTCCCCTAAAAATTTTATGAGAAACACGAGATATACAGGAAAATTATATAAAACTTTCCGATTAAAAATCCTTCCCAATCGTTCCCAGAATTTTTCACAAGTTGGTCCTCAGGTCTGGAGAAACAGGATTTCGTCCAGAAGACCTTCAGAGCTTCTAACAAACTTTCAAATAGGAAAATGGAAAAATTGAAGAAAATCCTAAACACAAGAAACAAAGATAAGACAGTGATAAGAAAAATGAAACTAGAATCAATCAATTTGAACGCACAAAGAGGAAGATATGCTAACTCAAAGTTGAAACAGGGTTTGGGAATCCTCTGTAATGGCTCCCTGGACCTTGTTAGATTGTAAAATTCCCACAGGACACTTCCCACGTCCAAAATTGACCAAACAAATTTTAAAGTGAAGCTAAGATATAGAGCTTTCAATGAAATAAATTTAAAGTTCAAATTCCCTCAGACTCATTCCCAGTTAATTTTTCAATTTCAGACAGAGACACTAGAAACAGAGTATTTTCAGCTCTACACCAAACCAACGAAAATTGCACTAATTTTTTTTTCTTTTTCAAAACAGAATAAAAACACTCAAAACACACAAAAAACACTAAACAAAACACAAAACACAAATTTTTAATTTTTCAGGAACACTAAAAATGTAAATTAAGTACTAAACAACCTTAGAATTAAACTTAAACCATTCCCCGGCAACGGCGCCAAAATTTTGATAGGAAATTAGTTTTATCCTCAAAATTACACTAAAGCTAACCCTAATGCAATATAGGGCCAACCCTAGGTCATCTCCCAAGGAATGGTTTTAAGTCTAATTGAAAGTTATCTAGTGAAATAAATCAACCAAAGTTTGTAGGAATTTAGTTACCTAGCTAATTATCTAAACTAATTACCTAATGTGCAAGTAATTAAAATGCTAGTGAAAGTGAGTGAAATGAACTTCCCTTTTTACAATAATGGAACCCTAGAGATTAGTTGATTTTGGACTCATTATCTTCTCATGATTAGGCTAAGTTTAGCTTCCCTTTCCTCTTGACTAAAGCTGTCATGACTTAAGAAAATTATCCTAAGCCAATTAACCTAATTAGCTAACCTCCCTAGGTCTTAGATTAAAGTCCCTAGTTCAATTAACCAATTGGTGAAGACATTAGCCAAATGATTCACTCAAAATCCTCTCTCAACAGCCATGGTCAAACACATAAATTGAGCAACCACAAGATTATGTCAAGCTACTCAACAACACAAGCATTAACACCACAAGATTATGCAATATTAACACAAGAAATTCACTAATTGAAAAACACAAGATTATGTGCCAAACAAAGAGTGACAAAATTCAATCATGGCTGTCCAAGGGAGAAATAAAATGAAACAATCCTCTCTCTTTACATCAACATCAAATTCAAATTAGAATTTATAAGCTAAGATGATTAAACCCTAGATTAAGGAATCTAACCATCTAGTAAAAAGAGAAGAGGATAGGAAACAAAAGAACTTAGCCAATTTGAAGCTCAAGACTCATCCTCCATCTTCATCTCTCTAGGATTCCACAAAGAAACTTAGCCAATCTTCATCTTCAAGAACCCTAGTGATTGCTTGTGAAGGCCAAACTCCATAGCTCTTGAATGATGGAAATGAGCTTCAATCCTTGTGAAAATGGAAGGGATGGAACGAAAATGAAGAGAGGAGAAGAATGGTATGAGTTTTGTGGAGGTTTGGTGGCTGAAAATGGAGGTTAGGGTGCTGGAAAATGAAGAACAAAAGAGAGAAAATGAAGAACACTATGAACAAGAGAGAGAGAATGTGGAAGATGAATGAGATATGTGTTGGATCTCCATTTGGGGCTTAAAATGGCATGCTCCTTGGTGTCTCCCATCAGCTGAAGCTTAATTAAAATAAGGAAAAAGAAATTAAATGTAAATGGGAGCCTTGTCACACTTGCAAGGTGGCAACTTCCTATTGGTTTGTAGATGATTCCAATGTGTGCCTAATTTTCCATGTGTCATCCACATCATTTTAGCTGATTTAACCCTCAAAATAATCATAATTCACGTGCAAACCATCAGCCATTGACCTCAAGGAGTGTTGACCTCAATTGCCCAATTGATGCACAAGTCACATGCCACCTATGTCACATAAATCACATAATTCAATTAAATAGCATATGATATAATAAAATCTAATTCATGTCCAGAATTAAATTCATAATTAGAAGGGAGAATTTATTAAATTAACCAAGTTTCAGGCTGCACAAAATTATATAAAAATTTTCACACAAAGGCAAACCAAAAACTAGGACAAACTAAGACACTTAAGAAAGTGTTGACTTTTTTATTTAATTACTCCCAAACTAAAATGAATTTTAAAAATATAATTTCACCATTCATCAACTGGACATAAAATGCACTTTGTCAATTTTTCTTGTACATTTTCTCAAAAGTTCATTTTTTGGACCAAAATGCCCCTAGTGCACTGAACCTAGAAACTTAGGCAAAGTTCCAAATCTAATGCAATGTGTGCACTTGAAGGTGATAATCATTAATAAAATGGTCCTAATTGACAAATAAAAGTGGGTAACAAATGTGTTCTATCAGCGGGTTTGAGACTCAATAATTTTTCTTTCACAAACATAAGTTTGATATCAAATACTTTATTCGGGTTTCTTGGTTTATATAGTATACTACAGATTTGTTATCACAGTAAATGGTTAGAGGACATGATATTGACTCAATTAGGTGCATGGCAGATATCAACTTCCTCAGCCATATAGCGTGACATGTAGTCTCAAAACAAAGAAATATACTCAACTTCCATAGATGAAATTACTATAAGTGTCTATTTCACACTTTTGCAAGAAACAGTTCTTCCAAACAGCATGCAAATTTAGCCAGTTGTGGATTTACGATCATCCAGACAGGAGGCAAAATCTAAATTTAAAAAGCCAACAATTTCAATATCTTCTGATCCCTTAAAGTCATAACCAGAATACCCAATAACCTCAAGAGAATTTGACCTTTTGTAAGTCAACATATAATTCTTCGTACCTTAAAGATACCTCATAACTTTCTTAGCAGATTTCCAATGATTCAGACCTGGATCATTTAAGTATCGACCTAGCACTCTAATGGCGGCTATCTCTGGTCGAGTACACACTTGAACATACATAAGGCTGTTGACAATGGAAGTGTATGGTATCTTTCTCATTTCAACCCTGTTCTTATCATTCTTAGAACACTATAACTCTGACAATAGCTTACCTTTCTATATAGGAGCAGGTGAGGTAGAACATGAATCCATTTTAAATTTTTAAGTACCTGCTCAATATAGATGGTTTGTGATAAACCAAGAATACCATAAGATCTATCACTTATGTCCTTCATGTCAAAATGGCAAGATAATAGGTATTTTATCTGATTGAGAAAATTTATTAAATTGCTGGCTTACAAGATATTATTAACATAGAGAACAAAAATGGCAAAATTGTTCCCATCAAACTTCTGATAGATACACTAATCTAAGACATTCTCAACAAAACCGAGCAAGGTGATAACTTTATCAAACTTCAAATACCATTGCCTAGAGGCCTGTTTTAGCTCATAGATGGATCTCTTCAATCTGCACACTATATGTTCTTTACCAGATTCAACAAAACTATTAGGTTGTGTCATGTAGACTTCTTCATAGAAATCGCCATTTAAGAATGCAGTCTTGACATCTATATAGTGAAGATCAAGATTAAACTGTGCAACTAAAGCCATTACCACTCTAAAAGTATCTTTGGTGGATACCAGAGAGAAGGTCTCTGTGTAATCAATACCTTCTTTCTGGTTGTAGCCCTTAGCTACATGCCTGGCTTTGTATCTATCAATTTCACCTCTAACTCCTCGTTTTGTTTTAAAGACCCACTGGTTTAAAACTTTTTAGTAGCTCTACAAGCTCCCATACGTGATTACGGTACATAGAGGTGATTTCTTAACTCATAGCCTCCAACCATTCAGAAAAATGTGAGCTAAAAACAGCCTCTTGATAAGATATCGGGTCTAAACTATCAATAGTATCTGAATCAAATTCCTGCAAATACATCATGTAATCATCTAGAATAGCAGACCTATAAACCCTTTGGGACTGTCTTGGTTCAACAACTAGATCCTTATTATCCTCTAAAGGTGGTTCATCTTCAGCTTCATCTTGATCCATGACATTATTTCTGTCAAATGAGGGGTTGCCACGATAGGCATAGGCAAAATACTGCTTTTGTCATGTAAAGTGATATGCCTTGGCATAGAGCTCCCACTGTCTAAGGCATCTTCAAAGAAATAAGCTCGGTTAGATTCAATAACTTTGGTAGTGTGATTTGGACAATAGAATCTGTACCCATAAGATCCGATGCAATGGTCGATAAAGAAACCATCAATAGTTTTAACATCAAACTTCATCAGTTGTGGATTATAAGATCTTACATGTGCTTTACAACCCCAAACTCGTATATGCTTTAGCGTAGGAGTCCTTCCAAAATACAACTCATATGGAGTGTTAGAACTGACTTGCTAGGAACTTGATTCAAAATATAAACAGCAATTTTAAATGCATCACCCTATAAGAATTCTGGTAGTAAGGAGTGACTGATCATGCTTCAACTATATCCATAAAAGTATAATTTCACATTTTTGTAACTCCATTCTGCTGCAGCATGCCAGGCATAGTATACTGAGCTTCAATGCCATGCTCTTGAAGGTATAAAGTGAATGGCCCAAGGTTCTTACCAGTCTCAGTATATCTCCCATAAAATTTTTCTCTTCTATCAGATCTCACACATTTAATCAACTCGCCATATTTCAATTTGACTTTTGCCTAAAGGTCTCAAATGCATTAAGAGACTCTCTCTTTTCACATAAAAGTTTAATCTATCCATGATGAGAAAATCATCTGTGAAGGTGATGAAATATTTGAAACCACCCATAGCTGGAGGTGTGATAGGTCCATAGATGTCAGTATGAATTAGGCCTAAAGTGTTTTCAGACCTCTTTACCCTTTTGATTCTAGCTCTAGCAAGGAATTTTTCCTTTATGCAATCAACACAAGTCTTAAAATATGAGAAATCAAGGTCTTGTGAGACACCTTGCTTGGCCATACGTTCCAATCTCTCTCTAAAGATATGACCCAAATGATAATGCCATAACATAGAGGAATTATCATTGGGCCTTTGATGTTTATGCCCAATAGCAGCATTGAAATGGAGATTAGGAAGTTCAAGTGACTAATCATTCAATTGATATAAACCCTATATTAAAGAAGCATAACAAACATTAATGGAATCAAAACAAATATCGATTTTTACATTTCCTTGGAAGAATGAATAGCCATAAATATCTAATGCAAAAGTTGAAATTAAATTCCTCTTTGTAGAAGGTACATAAATAACATTGTTCAAATTAAAAACATGACTAGAATTTAAATACAAAGAAATAATTCCAATGCATTCAATTGATGCCTTGCTCCCTGCTATGTCAAAGACTGACGTCTGTGCCTCACTTGGAACCTTTGGTTTCTTAGCCGTTATAGAGAATTAACATCATGTACAGTGGCATCAGAATCTAGCCACCATGAGTTAAAGGAAGTTTCAATGGTGTTAGATTCAAAACAAACTAGAGCTAAAGGGACAGTTTGAAGAATTTTACCTTACTTTCTTATTTGTTCTTCAGTTTGAAGTAATTAGCTTTAATGTGACTCAATTTCTTGCAATAATTGCATAACCCCTCAAAGGGTTTCTTCCTTGACTTCTCACTCTTATCACCATCCTTCTTAAAAGTTAAATTATTAGGCTTTGGGGCCTCATACTTCTTCCCTTTTTCTTATACGACCCTCTAGATTTGCTGCTAAAGCCATGAGAAACATATTTTACTGAGTGAGAGGAATTCTTCTTTATAGCTTCTTCTTCTTGAGTGACTGTTGATATCATCTGGTCAACAGACCATTCGGCTTCTGTGAGTTGTATAAAGTCCTTAAGAATGCGTACTCCGATGGCAGTGATTGAAAAACATGGTAAACTAAGGTACTTTCACCCAAGTCAATTTCATATGATTTAAGCTTGTTATAGTATAAAACAAGCTTCAGAATATGCTCCCTGACACCAGAAACTCTATCATATCGAGTATTGTCAAGAAGTGACAAATAGTAGTTCTTTTGAGTCTTACAAGCTTCTTGTATTTGTTACCAACAGCTTTTAAGTATTCCACTGCAATATCCTTTTCAAAAATGCTGTCCCTAATTCCCTTTTTAATTGTATACTTGATAATCACTAGACAGATCTGGTTGGACTCACTCCATTATTTATGGAAGGCCATTTTAGAAGCACTGAACTTGGAAGAGAGATCCGCAGGCTTGGGTTCTCTCAGAGCTAAATCTTTATCAAAAATGGTAAGATACATATTCAGGAACTATTTCCAATTATCATAGCTAGTCCTATTGAGAGCCTTCATAAAGAACAGTTGCGCAAAAGCAGAAATTGAAATTGCAAAACAAAAAATGGAAAATATAAATTATGCGTGCACAACATAATTATAAAACAAAATTCCCCAACAAGCAATTATCAATTACACAACTATAATCATGCACCAAGAAGGCTCAAATACCATAAAGATTTTAGCTCATACAAAAGTCCATACAAAATAATGCATTAAAATTTCCATACCTATAGGGTACAACAAATATTAACAAATTAAAGGAGTGCTATTAGCCTATCTTCAAAACTAACCATCAAAATTACATTAATAATGTCACGCCTATGGGTATGTCCATTATCAATGGTACAAGATCCTAGAGATTATCAATAACTCACAAAGTCATAAATTTATGACCTTAGGACAAAAGAAAATAATTTCAAAAATCCTTGGGGTCTTTTGGGAATTAGGGAACAAATATAGAAGTTAAGTAAAATTTTGAAAGGTGCCCAGGGGTAAATAAGTAATTCTAGAAGAGATTTAGGTCCAAATGTAATTCTAAAAGTTAAGGGACTCAAATGTTATTTTCAAAATTATCCTGGGGTTATGATGTAAATCCTAAAATTATAGGCCAAGTAATGTAATTTAAACTGGGACTGAAACATAATTAACAAAAATAATATTTATATATATATATATGGGCCTAAGGAATTTTGGCCTAGAAACTTTACAAAAAAAATTCACTCGGTCCAGTTGTCTTCCCTTACCCCCTCGTTTTTTAATGATATGTGCCCATATGAAAAATGGGCCCAAAACCTATGAAACTGGATCCCTGAGATTTAGTTCCTGACCCTATTTTAGGTCTTCTCCAGTTGTGAGCTAGAAATGAGGAAGAAAAGGGGGTTGGCGTTCAGGGAGTTCCAGCTGCCAGAAAGGACAACACTATTGGGGGCTGGCGTTTAGGGAGTTCAAGCCGCTAAAGAGGACAACCCCGCTATGATGGCGACTTGGGCAGTGGTTGCTGACATCATGAACTAAAACAATGAGACTATGTTGGTCGACACTCTACTGCTGATCATGACACGACAGCGTGAACCAAGACTATGCAAAAATGAATCTACAGCAACCAAAATGGCGGTACGAAACTAGATTCTCTACCGCAGGTTTGACGCCATGAAGGAGAATCTCTGGCAAAAACATAGCGAAATAAAGAAGACGCTGAGGAAGAAGAGAATAATGAATGCGACAACAACAAAGGGATAACATATTAAATTTTATATTTGATCACAATATTCCCTTAAACATAATATCACAATTCACACATGAATAATTGAATATATTTAAATCTCATTCATACTCATGTTCAATAAGAAGGATACCAAGAAAATTGGTAACATATGAACATGAATCTTTATCAATATATCATCATATGCATTAGAAGAATTGAGATATAGAAAATTTAAAATTCGTAACCAAGCTCTGATGCCACATGTTGTGTTTGTATATCTCAATTCATATAAACAAGTAAAATAATGTAAGCATACCTAAAGAATTCATGAGCATTTGAAAAAGCTCAATTACCTCGAATGTAGGCAGATGCACAAACCTACTGGTCCTCAAAGTCTTTAGAGAGTGTAGAGATAATGGAGCAAAAGAAAATAAGTCGTATGTTTGCGGTTAACCGACTGATTGACTTATAAGGATCATATCAGTAACCACTTTATTTAAATAATTAAATAATTATTTTCTATTATCTCTGACTCAATCAGTTAGAGATAGGAAATAACTTATGACTATTGGGTGATAAGTTGGACCTTTGCCCATTGGGCTCACTTGTGTGGTCTACCTATCACAGTCCACACAAGATTATAAAGACCAATCTATTTGAGCTTATTAATTAATGTTAATCCATAAATAAATATTTTAATAGAATAATCACGCAAAACCACCAAAAGATATTGATTGAAGGTAAAAAGATGAAAGGAAGAAAACTCAGCAACTGCATCCACTTCCTTTAAAAACTCAGCAAAGATAAAGTACAAAGACGTGATTTCTACTTTAAATTTAACTAGTGCAAGGACCTATGTGTTGCACGAGAAATTCATGGATCAATTTTTTGAACCCAATCAATCAAATATTAGTTAAGATTGAATGATATAGAGTCCATCTTACAATAAAAGAAAAAATATATATTTTATTGAAGAAAATTCAATTAAAAATTGAAAAACATGTTAATAAGTAAAAACATTTAAAAATTCAATTAAAAAGTAAAACCATTATCAATTTTTTTTAAAAAACTAATTTTTTTAATCATATGATATTATGTTATATCATGTGACTTGTTAACTCATGATAAAATTAAAATATAGTCTTACTTTTAAGTTAAGTAACAGTTTCATATCTATTTCTTATATTTAGATTATTATATACATATATAATTTTTTTAATTTTAATTATTACATCACTGATTCAACCATTGGTTGGACCATGTGAACCGTGAACCACTAGCTTTTTCAGTTTAATATCCAATCTAATTCTGAAGACATTAATTTGTATGCATAGTGATCTAAAACCAATTATTTGATTTTCACCATTCTTGTTCACAAAGCTCTTTCTTCTTCCTATGTGAAAGGAGCCATGCAATTTAAGAAACTTTAAATATAAAAAAAACAAAATCCGAAAGCATCTTTAAGGATACATATATTATAATACTATGAAACCCCTTTGGCATCTGTTAGAGCATATCTCCATCTGAAATAAATTAATGAGGAAAAATTTGTCATTGCCATCAAGAATTCCTATGATTCAATAAAATTCAATAATACAAATATAAACTCTAATTGATTCACAACAACAATCATTATAACATGTTATATAGCTAACCAAACTTTCATTATGTTTGAACTCATAACTATAATATTATGACTTGGACCAAAGACATCATCATCAAATTATGACTTTAGACAAGAGGCTACAGACAATAAATTAGAAGTTTGGACTTTGGATAACACAAAAATAAAAATATTAAGTAATAAAGTTGTCTTGTTAGATACAATGAAAGTTGTTTAGATGTATATTTAAGATACAAGAAATATTTCACGTAATGTTGCCAAAAAAATACTAACAGAAAAAGGTAACAATGTCTTCTAATAGGAAGATATTCAATATAAGTGTATTAATTCAAACACATAGTTATACCCATTTTTTTAGAAAATTTGATCAAAATTTACATTACATAATAGAGGATCAAAGAAGTTGATAATAGTTATTTAGGATCATTTAAATGTTTCTTTCTCTATTCAGTATCATTAACCACACCCTTCATCTTCTACCCTTTTGCAAGCAAATCTTTACCTAGACCAAGGTCCTTTCCTACTTTTTTTTAGAGTATTCTTTTGAATTTGAAGTTCCATAAGCTAAAAAACAATATACTACAACCATTTAGGAACCATCTGCCACATCACCTACTATATATTTTTCCTTACGGAAATAGAAGCTATTATTACTAACTATTTTACACTATCTCTTCGAAATTCTTGCATTTGATTCATCTCTACCTCTTCTACATGCATTTATTCTTCCAACTTTACAAGACGAGGGTATGAAAACAAAACCAAACAATCATCAACCTAATTTTGAACATCAACGTAATAAGATTTTAAAGAGATTTTGAAGTGACAACACTATACTTGCCTCTTTCCTCCTTTCTACTCGTTCACTACTTTTTGAAGTTGAAAGCCACAGCCCTTGGCCTAGCCTCAGACTTTCTGGAACTTGAATTGACACTTGGGTTCACCCTAAACAATAGTACCATACTAGTTCATATCAAAAGGAAAGAAAAAAATTGATCCTTAATATAAGTGTACAAACCATTTGGGTTTTAAAAAGTACGAAGTTTCCATGTGTGAAATATGTAATGTTTTTAGACCTAAGAAACAACAATTTCCCTTTCCCCTCACAAGTTACTTTTTTCTCACTTTTTGAAACCTGTATACAGAAACCCATGCACACTGTTGTTCCATTTTCACTAATGATGATGCATTGAGGGCATTAATAATCAACATAATTTATTAAGACAAATAATTATCAACCTATTAATCTTCCATTCTTCTAGAGATACACTACTACCATTAAATCCTTACTTCTTTTAAAGTTTTGCTTACTGAATGAGTCCTTGGGTTTGCGAGTTTTGATGAATTATTTTCCACATTCGTTTTCCTTAGACTCTCTCTACTAGAATTTCTTGCCAAGCCCTCAGGTGATCTAACTAAACTATTTTTCCAGACTTTAACACAGTTGACTATAGAGCTCAACCCACACTCAGGCTGTGTTTACTATGCATTAGTCCACAAAATCACAGGACAACATATTATATGAGTATATTTAAATATTGCACAACATGAACAATGCATAAGTAAACACCAACAGAAACAACTCCATATTTAAGAAAAAAATATTTAATAATGTTTAACTATATTATTTCCTTTCTAGACTTTCCATTATTTTCCCATGGTTAAAAAAAAATGAAGCATCACTAAGGAGAAGCATACCCTTAGAGAGGGACTTGGAAGATCATTGAGAGTTGCTTACTCAACACCTCTAGCTGGTTCAGTCACATTCATAATTCTTAATGATTCATCATTATTGACAATAGCATCATGGTCCTTTTTCACTTCCATAACTATTGTGTCATCAACAGAGATTATGCTGCTTGTCTCTTTTTCAGGTTTAGGGAGCTTCATCAAAAATTCTATTATTATCAATAGCATCCTCCAAACATTATAGTTGCTTCTAGCAAATTGCATATGCTAGTTAAAAGATGAAACTTTTAGCCCTTCTGTGACCAAATCTTCCATTTCATATTCAGTTACTCCATACTTTCCATTATAATCTTTTAAGTTTCAATAGAGACTAAGTCCATATATGTTTTATGCTAGTTAGTAAAAAAGTATAAATATGAATACAAAAGATAAAAATAAGGCTTTTTTTTGGTGTGGGGGGGTAACCATCCTAAGATGTTACAGGAATACAAAGCAAACCTATCATAGTTAGTTGCCTCAAACTTAGGCCCTAGCATCAATTTGCCTCCCATCAGTAGATAATCCAGGCACAGACTAAAATCAGAAGAACTGTCATGAATACATGAAAAGAAATTTTAAAAAGAGAGGATAGTTAATCTTAACTGATACAAAGGCAAACTACTCAAACTATAGAGAAATTATTCTGTACAGCTATTACAATACAATAAAGCAACTTCAAAGTAACATATGAAAGTTTAGATTAAAATTTTAAACAATTAAGAATCCCAAAGCTATAACCTAACTATATTGATATGCTGGCTTCTACAACCAAGAATTTAACTACACTTTCTAATGAGTTTTCCATAACTTCTAATACTCAATTCCAGACAAGAGAGCATAATGAACATCAACTATCCCTGTTTTAAATACAAAGTAAATTCACTTGTTTTCCTTCTACTTTGTTCATTTGTCATGCATTAAGGAGTTTTACTTTCTCTTTCTTAGTTACTGTCCAATAAGTAGATGTACCTAATAGTTGTAATGAAATTCAAAAGAATAATACATTCATTCAAAGCTTTTTCTTCATCATGCATTGAATGAGTTTAATTATTTTGAAGTAATCTAAAATCCTGAAAGCACCAATCATCTGTGGAATGGGGATAAAGCATGGATTCTACTATTAATCACCCTTCACCAACTCATATACAAGTACATGCCATGCATGTCAAACACGTCTCTTTTATTATTTCCTATAGCATCAAGTTTTCACTTGATTTATTTCCTTTTGTATTAGCAACATTTTATATATAGGTTGCCTTTTCTTCTCTAATGAATAAGATAAACAAAATTTTTGTCAATGCTCCCAAAATCTACAAAAGCAATGGCAAGACTAATTTTTAAAATTCTTAGCTTAAGAAAAATCAAGAGCAGCCATGTATTCGCTAGATTAATATACTTGGTTGACAAAAAGTTGTAGGACTTTCACATTTTTGATGTTGAGGTAAAAATATAAATTTAATTCTCAAACACTGCTTTTAATGCTGCATTTCAAACCTGTAGTGACTAAGAAAAAATAATCTTCATGTCACAAATGAATCATGCTAGTAAATGTTTGTTGTTAAGTATTAGCTTTTAAGAGTTAGTAACTAAGGGAGTTAAAAAAAGATGGTAAACACTAGCCAAAATCATATCACTTGGTTTGACACATTATTGTGGTGAAAATGCACCCTATATTTGAGTCCATTTTCCTGGCTCAAAATCTTAGTATATTTTTCTAGAAATTCTTGAGAAGACCCACATAATTGCAGTCCCAAGAAGTGGTCTTGGTCCACAAATAAAATTTTGTGTCACTTAAAGGTTCACAAACTCTTGACTTGAAGGTTCATAAATAAATATAAGGGTAGAACATTTTAGATACCTTTATAAGCTTGTTGCGTGCAGCTTGATCAACTTCAATTGTTTTTCTCACTTGAATGTTGGTCATGTTTGTTGCAACAGTTAATTCCTCCTTTGTTAGTTCTGTTTTGAGATCCTTTTGTAAATCTACTTTTACTCGAAGGAGAGCATAAATGATAAAGTTTCAATGAACTTAAGTCAAGATTTGATCTATGTTGCTCCCATTCCCGCATAAAATAATTTCCACCAAATGTTATTTGTGAACCTTCAAGTTAAGAGGCTCTAACATGATGAACATGTTAAAGTAAAATCTAGCACCACTTGACTGCTAAAGCTGTAGACGAACTATAATTAATCTTATGATATTTAAAGGGCTTATTCTCATTTAAATCATGGCATAGAAGTTGATCTTTTATATATTACACGTTCCTTAAAACAATATTATTATTATTAAAAACAGTATTCATTCTTTAACATGCACATCAGAACATTGATTACTAGCTAATTTAATAAATCACAATACAAAGACAAGTACCATAATAACATTGCAACTTCCATTAAACATCACAACACAATTTCCTCTATGAAAAAAAATTAAAAAAACTCATCAACTATTTATCACTACATCTTACATTGTTTAATATAACTTCAATGAACACATAGTACAAATTTCAATGATCATAGCAAAACAATGATAAAAGTCATGTGCAAACATTCATGTTAATTTTTTAATTTATGTTCAAGAAGAACATGATACTTCAAAATCTTGACATTGTCAATCTCTTACACAAAAAAGCAGCAAAAAATGTCTAGGATTTTATAATTTATTTACTTTTCAGTAGTTGAGCATGAATGTTTGCTAATTTATCAAGAATTTCAATAGATTCATACACATATACCATATTTATATTATTTATATTAATTTTTTCAAGGAAGAACATCACCACTACCAAGTTCAATGATGATTTCTTTTGTATAAAGAAGTCCGCAAAACTTTTGAGAATAATAAACAAAAGGATCAAGTTCTTCAAAATAAGAATGGAACTTTTGTGTTTTACAGCATTTTATGCAAAAAATAAAATAAAATAGAAGCACCACAATATATGCATAACGAACATTTCTCTTAAAACAAACAGAGATTTATTTCCTTACCTGGCTTTATGTATCTTTTAGCTACTCTTTGTGATCATTGACTTGTTGCATCAGGTTTATGTTTTCAAATACAAATTTTTGAATCCACAATGTAGTTAACAAAGAATCAGAGAAAAAGAGTGAAGATCCCAACAATAGAGGTAAAGGAAAAATATGAAAGAAGGAAATCGCCAATCTTAGCATAGCACATAATTCAATGTAGGCTCAGATAGTCTGCTTCATGCATAATTGTAAATTTATGTTTTGCAGGAAGAGAATGATGATAACTATAAAGAGGAGCTAGAAGTTGCTGATGAATTTGATAGGGATTTTGATGAGGATGTGAGTTACAAGTGCTTGTTTGTGATTATGTGCTAAAAATATTATTTAATTGTGTCTTAGTTATGCAAAAGGATACTTGGCGTATTTTTCTTCTTTATTGATGCAGCTGTTTCAATTGTTCTTATCAATATTTAGTGCTGATATTGAATTTCAACATCCTTAAGAACTTGAGCCTAATGAAGAAAGTGAAAATGAAGCTGTTGAAAGGTAAATCTTTTTATCTCTTAGTGCAAACTTGTAACGTGCAGATTTTGGTTTGTTGATATGCTAATCTATCTAAACTCATATAAGGTGCCAAAAAAGAAGCAATTAATATTCCTAGGGAAGAGAATGTCTATGAAGAAAAAGAAGAAAGGAAACAAAACACATACTACTCTATACCATCTCATCCTTGGGGACAACTAGATACTATTATGCTTTTAACTACATAACTCCAACAGTCTCTGAGGCATCTGTCAACAAAAAATCAGATAAAGGGGATAAAAAATATATGAAATAATATGATTATAGACATGAATTGTTATAGTAGATAACTTTTTATTTTCTGATTATAGTTTGTCCAGTGGGCTAAAAACACTAGTTTTTGGCCTATTGCTTAGCCATATTTTTTGTCTCTATTTATGGTTTATTTCTCCATTTCACACCTTCAAGAGAAAGTTGTTTACTTTTTAGTATCAAACCACATGATTTTGGAGCCACAAAAGTCACTCCAATGTTTTCTCTCACTTTTCATAAGTTGTGGTAGAATAAAATGCTAACTTCAATTATTCTCATATTCCAAATATCTTTACCTCTAGTTTGTCCAACTTGTACTTTTAAGTCACACTTTATGATGTTCATGTGCGCCATTTCTTCTTAGTCTACTTGTTCATCAAAATAAGTAGATTTACAATCAAAGAAAGCCAAGCACAACAACCCTGTCAAAGTTAATACCAAGAAGGACATTATGTTAGGCTTTACATAACACTTGAAACAGAAAACAGTAAGTTTAGAACTAAAATATAACATGAAAATGTATGAAAGAATACAAAATTAGAGTAATAAATCAAAGAAAGTAATGAAAGAAAATATATATACATGATAACAAAATTATAGAAAATACCTACTCCAAACTATACAATAGTGCATGGAGTCTTAGGCCTATCAGTATATAAGGCATGGATTGCTGCAACTTACGTAAAAAAATATACACAAATCATGTCAACTATTACACATACATCTAGGACTTTGCTTATGACCAAGTGATCAAGTTAATGACTAAGATATCACCTTGTCATCCAACCTTCCTTCAGAAAATAAACATATCCTTAGTGACCTTACAAAACAATACATTAAATAATAGGTTATAATGATTGTTGTTAGTTATTACCTGTAAAATTCAAACTATAATGTCTACTACAATATCCTAACAACCTTGAGCCAAGGGCAAAGCTGACAAAAGAAAAGAGATGCAGATAAAGTCAGAACCATTTCAAACAAATTCTTTCAAACAGTGTCTACATCTCAAATAGTAACGTGAGGGATGAGCATACTTTATTGTACAATCAACTAAAGCAAATGTTTGTAATAATTTAAATATAATCATGGTTGTAATTCAGTACAAATTGAATTCTTTTTTTTAAAGCATAACATGAATGTTGGAATATTTTTGCAACTAACTTACAAAAGTGAACCAAGAAACATCAACTAATAAAAAAAAAGTACGTCAACTACTACAAGTTTATAAAAATCTAAACTAAAAGTATGAGCATAAATGGAAAACAAACTTATGAGAGAACAATATTAATCTCACCAGTTGACAAAACATATGGAAATTGTGAGCTAGAATGATAGTTATAGGTTATGAGACAAAGTAACCGAACAATTAGAAATGAAAAACCATAATTACAGATGGAGTAACCAAAAACAATTAGAAATGAAATACATAGTTTATGAGAAAATAACCACTCAAAACCATATTGCAACTAAAAGGAACCTGCATTGAACTTTTACAAGAAATAAAAGAAAATAGGGGTAATCAATACAGGTAACAGCATATAGAAAAGCTTTTCTTAAGATGATGACTGATACAAGTTCTCCAGATATTCAAGTTTCTTTTTCTTCTTTTGTGACGGGGAACTAAAATCATCAAGTAGAAGATGAAAATAGTGGACAGGAACCATGTTATCATGTAACAGTTTGCTTCTAATTTCTTTAGTTAGCCTTGTATTCTGGTTTAGTTTGTAATTCAAGCTATATGCTTGCTTGATAAATATTAAAAAAATCAAGATTGAACCTTTCTCATGTTCTTTTGGATTCTGGGGAAGAAAAGGAACATACAATTAACAAAGAAATGGAAGAGATATAAAGGGCAAAAATAATTTTCATAAGTATTGAATAGCCTTGCCAATGTCACCAGAATAAGGAACTTGATGAAATAGTGGAACGAACCCTAGGAAAAAAAGGATATGTTTAACCATGAATTAATATAAAGTTTTGAATCCAATCATATGTTAACCTTAAACTATGAACTAAAACATCCTTCAGAGATTTTCTAAGATAAATCATTCCCAGATAAAGGGATAATGGTATAACATCCAATAGTATGATCAATTGATCTATAGGTCAAAAGGCTCTATGAAAAAGAGTAGAACAAATCCTAGGAAAAAATATAAAGTTCTGAATCCATTCATATAATTATCATCTTGAAAGTTAGTTCTTATTTAATATTAGTTGTCTTTCCCACATTCCTATTTTTCCCTCTTTTTTACTGTTCTCTCTGTTTCTTTCTCCTTGAGAATTCTATCTATACGTGAAACGCAATCCAGCTACTTCTCCATTAAGACCCTCCCAGGATGCGAATAGAAACTTCACCATATGGGTTTTCTATAAAACATACGACCACAAATAAAACCATTGGTCCAACTTTCTATATGGAAATAAAACAAACACCTACTTCAATATTATAGTAGTCTGAAAATCCACATAAAAAAATCAATGTCATAGAGAAATAAGCCAACATTCAGACCTGAAAGTGATAATCAAAATAAAATTTCTACTATTCACAAAAACTTGGATTCCTTATCATAACAGATCTGGAGTCAACAGAAGCACCCTCACTTAACAAAAATTGGTTGACGAGCACGAAGAAGGAAGAAACATGAATAGTATAGCAATTAGTTCAGAACAGTTAAGGTAACATTGAATATCTCAAAACCTTCAGAAAAATACATGGATGATCGATTAGACTCACCAAAATTAATGCAAGGGCTTCCCTTTGCAACTCGATGAATGAACTCAAGCACCATACTCAGTCTCAGCTCAGGCTTCTGATGTGCTAAATCTCTATCTCTCACAATCTCGTATTCATGATTTTCTACTAAATCTCTCTCTTATGCTTTCATATATTGCTTCACTACATCTTCTTTAACCTCGAGCAGAGAGAGAGAGATTGCGTCTGGAGAGAGAAGTAGTGGGGTTTAGAGGTGGTGATGGTAGATGAAAGGGATACAAAGAGAACGTAGTGACAACAAAGGAGGGGAGATGAAGTTGAAGAGAAGCTCAATTGGAGGAGGACTGAAGACAAAAAGGAGGCACGGTGATGATGGGGGAGAGTCTCCGCCGCAGTGGCAGTAAGGATGAGAGGGTAAGAGGGCGGCAAATCCGATAGATGGAATGATCTGGAAGGTGAGAGAGAAGAAGAAGATGGCATTTTTCCAAAGCCAAAATTTAAATTACAAACATTGTGTGGGACTTGCACCAGAAGGTCATTCAGGATAAAACACTGTAGAATACACTCATTGAGCAGGGCCATTTGAGGGAAACACTGTAGATGAATAGTACAAGAATAAAAAGTACACGGGCCTTATAAGATATAAGATACTTTGCATCCCCTGCCTTTAGACATTTTAAACCCATAACTCAAATTCTTAATTCTACCATGGATACCATTATGGATGGCTAAATGTGTGTGTATATATTAATGACTCATTTGTTTAAACTTAATTAAAAAGGTGATTTATATATATTAAGTCAGGGCTCTTGTGTTTCAATTTATTTATAAAAGGGTTAATAAACATCACATACTCTAAATTATTATGTGAGTAGTTTTTTGGACCCTAAACTTTTAAAATATAAAAAAAATTCTCTAAACTTTAAAATTCAAAGTGAATTATTAACGCACCGTTAACATATAAATAACTGCCATTAGCTATTAACTTTATGGGGTTCGGTTAAATGCTGATGTGGTAGTCCTCCTTGCTGATGTGTCATCCCTCCTTGCACATAAACGATGCCACATATGAGAATTTTCCTTTTCTGTCATTGCCATGTTTCTTCATTCTTCTTCTTCCTGTGCTTCTTCTTTTTTCTTGTTCCATGTTGCTCATCAGACCCAACTCACACACACATTTCTCTTTGAGTTATTCTATCATGTTTTGGCAACTATTCTACTAAAGCCATGAGAAGAGAATAAGAATGATGGTATATTAAGATCTAAGTTAGAGCAGGCTTGTGAGTCTTATCTGAGTAATGACGCTAATATAAGTATTATGTTAGTGATGGGTAGCGAACAGAATGAAGAAGAAAGACATTGATTTGTGCCTTTGTGATGAGTAGCAACGTCGATCTGAGCAATAGCAACGCCGATCTTCCGTTGCTTGCTAGATTGCCAACTCCAATTTTGGAAAAGTACTCACTTCTTCCTTGATTGATGCTTGACTAATCAAGCATTGAGTGATCTTCAAGCATCATCCAATGTAGATCATGCCATGGCATGCACTTCATTGTTTAGACTCTTAGTTTTGGAAAACCCCTTCTCAAATGTATGCTTTTGACCTTGGGCTTGTGCAATTGGCAATTTTAGTAAAATCAAAGTAGATTTGAGTTTTTGTTTAAACTTGCAATTACTTTCATGCTACAATTTTTGTTGAGGTTTTGAAGCAATTTTCTTAAATCCTCTTTATTGTTTGAAGTTGATGGTGATGGTTGATTGGGTATTGATATGATTTTTTATGAATTCCTCCTCATTGTCCCATCACCGTCGTCCAAGGCGAACCTGGAGTATTCTTCTCTGGCTTTTCTTGTTGATATGGGTTGTTGATTTTTTGTTCAGGATAATTTGGTTCTTTCCTTTACATGTGGCATGCTAGCTTGTAACTTTTGATCTACATAACAGTCAACATTCTACAAACAAACGATGGGGGGTACAAACATATGATGGGGGTAATCTACTCTAAAATTCAAAGTTTAGGTGAGTTTTTGCACACTTTAGGAGTGTTTAGGATACTACTCATGTAATAATTTAGGATTTGTGGTGCTCTTTAACCCTATATAAAAAATCAATTATTTTTTAAAAAAATTATTTTGCGAGTTTTTATAATGTTTATTTAAAATTTTGAAAATAATTTGAATCTAATAAAAAAATTCTAATGACTTTGATTTTTTCCCCTAAAAAATGGATTAGTGGGATTAAAAGATTTTAATTTTTTAAAAAAATTAATGATTTAGTTTTTGTAGTTTTGACCCAATTGTAATTTATTTTTTGAGCTTTGACTTGTTATAACTTAGTCTTTATACTTTTATTTTTGTTGTAACTCAATCCTTGAACTCTTACAACTTAGTCCTTATAATTTTAACCATTTAAAATATTGGTTCCTATATTTTTAAAATAAAATCACAAAGATTAAAGCTATTTCAAAATTTTAATCTTTATAAAGATTAAAAAGGTTTAGTAATTTAAAATATTAGGTCTAAATTTTAACATAATTTTAATTTCTATAATTTTATTTTTTAAAATATAAGGACTAATATTTTAAATATTTAAAATTATAAGAATTGAGTTATAAGAGTCAAAGTTTAAAGATTGGGTTATAACTAAACCAAAACTGTAAGAACCAAACTACAAGAAATCAAGATTTAAGGATTAAATTATATTATTAAGTTAAACTATATATCAAATGATTAGTTTTTGCCTCTTCTAAAATCAAACAAGCGTGAAGGATGGGAATAGGCATTTTGCATCAAAAGAAGGTATATTATTGAGTCTTATTTGACAAATGGGGTTCATATCTATATCGTCTCTAACGAGTTATTATCTTTTTTTTTTTTTTTACGTCGGATGAACTTTAAGTCAACGAATGAATTTCAAAATGGAGGAGTTAACTTTTTTTTTTTGTTTTTTGTTTTATAAAAGAGGAGTTAACTTGGAAAAAAAAATGAAAGAATGTTGAATGTAATGCTTAATTAAATTGGGCCTACTTATGTTTTTGGTAAAATGGAGGCCCAAGGCCCAAATACAGTCAGATGTATGTTTAATCACACAAATGTCTTCCCCATTTTTTAAAAGAATAACTCGTTAAAGAGGATCTAGTTGCCAAAAAAACAGAAAAGAAAAGATCTGAGAGGATGCAGATTATATTACCAACAAAAATTATTTCAATGATAAAGATTTGATTAAAAACTCACAAGGTTGTGGACAAAATTTTATTATAAATATAATGATTTTATTGGCTGGCGATTGGTAAGTATAATAATAAGTACTTAAAGGCTTGCTGTGTTATGAAACCCAGTTCACTTAAATTTAGTTATTTACCAAAAATTTATATTTTGGGGCCCACCACAGTATCTCTCCTAAAGCACACAGATTTCATTGAACTATTGACAAATACTTTATTTCAGTGTTTGCCAGTTTGGGCCTGTTTCGCGCATCTCATTCGTTCTAATGTGTTTAAAATAATGTGCAGTTTGCTGCTTCGCCTGTTTCTGGCAAGTGGATCGAACATTCTCTTTAATGATAATTAAGCTGTACTTTAATCACGTTGCGTGAGTTTTGTTTGTTGAATTCTGTTAATACTTCCTCCGATAATAAACGTAAATGCTAAATAACTAATTCACATAAATTAAAAAAATTAGTTAAGTTAGTTATTTATAAAAAAATGTGTCTTGATTTTTCTCAATACCATATCCCTTTGTGCAGTCAATAGGGTAAGGAGTTTGGAAAAATAAATGTGAAAGGTAAATAATATTAAGATCCTAAATTTAGGAGTTGGCAGGAAAAAAAAAAGATATTAAATTTAGGATTAAAACAAACTACTCAACTTATAGTTTCTATATTTAAAATCAGAGGGAGTAGAAGTAGGTTGCATATAATGGCAAGGATATATATTTTTGACATAGAACTTAATGATTTCCTGTATTTTATTTCCATGTCCCATAAAAGCGAAAAAACTAATCATAGATATGTAAATATGTAAATTAGCATCAATATGTAAATATTTTTCTAATCAATTCCTTGAAGTGATTTCATCTGCTGCTGAACATATCAAGAAGAAAACATAGAGGTTCTTCATTTTGGATCTCATACTATTATCGTGGGGTCACAATTTGATATTTCTACGAAAATTGTTTTTGGTCTGGTCTCATAGTTTCATTATTAATTGATCCTTCTTTTCTGTGACCATCATTTGACATCTGATTAATTAAAATTTGAACATTGTGATCAAATCGAGATAGTTCTCACGTATTCGAGCTAAAGAATATACACACAAAAAAAAATTTAAATATCAAATCATTAACATGAAAAATGTCACAAACATCAAGTTCTAACAGTTTGACATCCAAACAGTTTCACTAATTGATCTTTCATTTAAGGGTAAAAAAGTAAATTGACTCCTAAACTATAGACTCAATAGCATTTGCAACATTAAACTCATTTTTGATGCAATTTTGCCCTTCGACTTTTTAAAAGTATAATTTGACTCCTATCATTAATAAAAATTAAATTCGACCATTAATTGATTTTCAAAATTACATAAAATTAACAAAAATTACAGACAACCTAAAAAATTACAAAAAATGACTAACGAAATTTTATTGGTCATTTTTTTATAATTTTTGAGGAATTTATTTAGACAATTAATCGTCAAAGTTAACTTTAATTAACGGTAGGAGTTAGAATACACCATTTTTAAAATTTGAAGGAAAACATTATATCAAAAATAAATTTAGAGTCCCATACGCTCTAGAACCTATAGTTTAAAAACTAATTTACTCTTTTACCTATAATTTAATTACGTTTGTATCTCTTCCATAGGCCATGTTAACATACATTGTATAATTTTGTTCATGTATTTTCTTTTGCAGCGCCTCATGTACATTGCACATCCTTCGAAAATGAGAAATTAATAATGACATGACAAGGCATAATAATTTATCTATATGTTCAGTTTTGTTTCCTCAAGTTTTTCAAAATTATTAAAAATGTCATTTTGTCTTGTATATAAGTCGTTGTAGATATGAATGTTGTGCTGGATACATGCCTTGTGGTGATAGTGTATGGAAAGTGAATGTCCTGAGTTTTGCCTTTTGTACTGAGGTGCATTATGTAGTCCTCTTTACTGACTTATTATTATTATTTTGCCTTCTTGCATCAATATTATAGGATTAAATGGCCAATTGACTTTTAAACTTATTTCTAGTATAATTTTCTCTTTCAACTTTTGAAAGTGATATAATCTGACTTCTATCATTAATAAAAAGTAAACTTTAAATATTAATTGACTAGACATTGATATAAAATAACAAAAAAATTATAGTAATAGACCTAAAAATTACATAAAAGGCCCAAGGAAATATTATTGGTTCTTTTTCTTCCTTGTAATTTTTGAGATTATTTTCTATCACTTTCTAGTTAAAATATAAACA